TGCGCCAAAGGTCGGCCTGTTACAGTGGTTGCCTCGGCTATCGCGTAATTAATCCAGAAACGATAATAGGGAAAATAAGAATAGAGAACGTATAAGAGCATGTGCTGCGCGCGTGCTACGTGCCGCGTCGCGCTGGTGCTATCTATCGGGTGGGCGATCATTCGTGCCTCTTGAATAGTGACGTCTGGCGAAAAATAATTCGTCGGACGTAACAGCCGTATATTATTTGAAACGATTTAACAAAGTGAACCAATAAAGCTTCAGCAAAATTTATTAATTCCTTTTGGCATTCCTTTTGACGCAAAAGTATTGTTGCAGCAACATGTAGAGTCACAAAATGAATATATATGTCTTTTCTTAATACGTATCTTAATACAATAGGACCTGTATATAATAAAAAATTTCGAAATTCAACAGCTTTCCAGTATTTAACTTCTTTTAACGATCTGGGTCTTCTAGGGAAATCATTTGGTGTAGTATTTCTAAATTCAATTAACAGATGTGATATTTTAATAATGGACCTTGTATTTAAACGTACAGAAAATGGACCCTTCATCCAAAGAATTATCATTTTTTTAACAACCCCTAAACATATGAGATGCATATAATCTAGTGGAGTATTAGTTAATGGTAAAAATTCTGGAACATTATTTAAAATAGAATAATTAATCTGAAAATCTTTATATGTATTAGTAGCAAATAATTCATCTTTTCTTAAAGGATAAGTTTTATTATGTGGAAAACAAATTCTATTGTTTATATATTTTCCTTTGATTAAACATTTAGTGCAACTATTAAATCCGGTGTGACCTTTTATACATAAAATGAAAGATTTCGCAGGTGCGTCACATATTAAAGCAAATAATTTTATTTTTATTATCTTTCCTTTATGATTATAACCATTATTAATAAGATTAATTAAGTCATCGATAACCGGTTGCAAAAAGACATTAGGATCAGTAGATTTTTGATATCCAAAATAAGCACCAACTAGGTATACTGCTGTATTGACTGAATTGGAACATAAAATTGGCCATAACGATGCTTGTGATGATTTCGCTAAGGGAAGACCATCAATATTTATAATTAAATTAATATATGTATTATCATTTTTTCGTAACAGTTTTTTAATATCTTGAAAACCTGTATAAAAGTATTCTCCTCCACATGTTTTTAAAACGTCAGTTTTTTTTGGAGTTCGTAATAATGTTCGTATATCTGTAGGTATATTATATGATATATATCGATGAAAAATATGTAATAAGTCATTACATGCGTTTTGGGTAATATTATGAGATACTGCCCATGTAGCTATTGCATTTCTTAATTCGTGTTCATTATTGTTATCAGTCTCGTTTACTTCATTTATAACATAGTTATGATAGTTAGAACTGTTTGTTTGTATATTATTATTATATTGAAACTGATTTCCTGAGAATGTATTAGATCCAATAAATACTTCTTTAGTACCACGTATATTACAAATATCAACTTCTGTAATAGTATCATCACAATCTAAATTAGAAGAATCTAAATTACCAGAATCCTTGGAAAAGATAGTGTCAGTATACTGATTAGAAACATGTTTATGACACCCTGCAATATCTATATCAGTATTGTTTGCAATAATTCGTCTACCATGACGTTTAGAAACAAGTTTCATTTTACGTGCGTTATTCATAGTTACAATAAGAAATAATCAAATACTATACTGGCGCTGCAAAAATTGAAACAAGGGGTGTTCCTGTGATAGCACGTTTCCCTCGTCTACCTGCGTCTGCCCGCGTGAGAGTCCCGGCCGGAACGGTGGCGATGAGTGTGTGTGTGTGTGTGTGTGCGTGCGTGCACCCCTAGGTATAATAAAAAACTTTTATTAAATGTACACAAACAAATTGTTTTCAATACATATAACTTTAACTTTACAAACTATGAGAGGCGGTATTCATAGTTAAAACTTACAATATTCAAGATCGTGTTAAGATCATCTTTAGATATTTCGCGTATCCATACAATGAAATATTCGCATACAGAATCTTTAAATAAATTCAAGACGGTCTTAATTGAATACATTTGATCTGACTATGAATATACCGGCCTAGGTTTTTCAAGTAAGCCAAAGTTGAGTAGGTTAGGTTATAAATAACGTTCACATAATTAAGTCTTGTTGGAAAAGCAATAATTATATATAATATTATACATATTTACATACCTTTTCTATATTTCTCACTCGATTTACGAAATATATCTCTTTTTAATGTTATACGAGACTTATAATTGCAAGAAGCACTGGCGAGATAACCATGCAGAGATATCGCTCTCACGAGACCACGAGACTCTACCCACAAGACCTTCTTGCGCATGCGTGATATCCCATACCTCGAGGTCGCTTCGTAATAGATAGAGATTGCGAGCAACACCGCACTGATCAAGTACTTAATAATTCACGCATTATTGGTATAATATGAACGAAAATAACATTATAAAATTCTCGTAATTAGAAAAATTTTTTAAATAGAAAATATAGTATTTTCATTATTTTTGAAACATTGCTGCAATATTGCTATCGAAAGTTTGCAATTTTATATCCCTGCAATGTCTCTGCAAGATTGTGCTGCAATCTGCAAGATTGCAATGTTTCTGCAATGTAACTGCAACCATATGTGCTGTATGGGTAGGTGGAGTCGCTTGAGAGGATAGGAAATAAATCGTGTACGTGTTTAATTCAATTGGAACGTAAGGAACAATTTATTTAAGAATAGATATAAAGGATATCGAAGGAGTTATAATGGGTACGCCCTGTGTTCAAAATACAAGGATAAAATAAAGGATTAGTAACGGAGTTTACAAAAGTGCGCTGGATATAAATACAGAGAAAAGGAATCGGATTATTTTCGGCGCGTGGATTGTGGAACGGAACGAGGTGTTGTATATGATTACAGGAGTAATTTGTTCGCGGTACGAGTTTAGCGGGATATAATTCAATTCCACGAAGTTGAATTTACGAGTTTAAATACTCTGTGACTAATTAACACGCAAGTATCGAAACACGGATCAATAATGAGAACGGCACGGATTAATAACGCTAGAAATAATGTACGGAAATATATATTATCGCTGGAATCAAACAGGAGAGGATAGTTTTACGGAATATCCTCTGGTTCGCAAGGCAAGAGAATTAACAAGATTATTTACACGGTACTGGAATTCGGAACTAGCCCACCCGAATATTTCCCCCTGGATTTTACTTCCGGTCAGGTACAGGAAAAACGGATCGGGATCAGGAAACAGGAGCACGCCGAGAAGTGCCTCGTTATGCGTGCGTTACTCCGCTCCGTCAAATTACGAGTGCCCCCGATGCTAAGACGGAAACGGAGCCGGATACAGGAATACAGGACTGGAACACGCCCGAGAAGCGCCTCGTTATGCGTGTGTTATACTCCGGTCCTCCGAAACACGAGAGCGCCCGCTGTTAAGGAGGGTGACGGAGTTAGGAACGGGTATAGGAGACCGGTACAGGGATAGTAACATGTGTACACCGGGGAGCGCCGCGTTAGGTGTACGTTACTGCTGGCAGGAGAGGCGCCTCCGTTGTCATGCACTCCGGTATGGTCTACAGTCGATTGACAGGAGCACCTGTGCACTCGACGTCTACCGCAGTGGATGTGGGAGCATCCACCGCCGGGTGTCTGCTCGGAGCACCGAGCGAAGGCTGAATTGATTCCGCCAGCTCCGGAGGGCTTTTATACCCTCCAGAGTATAGGCGCGCGGGATAGAGGCGGCAGGGGAAGGCGCTGTTGTGCTCGCGGTTGCCATGGCAACCGCGCCGGTATCGCTCTCTCACTCGCACCCGGTAGTGCGTTCTCTCTCGCGCTTGCGCCTTCTCTGTCGCCTCCGTCACAACCTAAACATCATTGAGAAGGTCGCAGATCGTTCCAAGAATTTGAAAGGGACCTTTGTGTCCCAGCTGCTCAAATCTGCAAGCAAGTGCAGCGAGCAAGGTTCTTTCCCGAAGGGCATCCTCCAACCACACCGAAGAGGAGATGGAGGAAATGTTCGCACTTAGGGAGAGGGTAAAAGAGCTAGAAGAACAAGTCACTACGCTCAAATCCAAAAAGAACGGCAGGAACTGACCCAGCATCAGTCGAACGAGGCGAGGACGACTAGAAAACGCAAAATGCAGAGCTAGCCGACGCTTCAGACGAGGAGGAGGTGGATGCACCGGTAGCGGTCAGCGACTACCGACACACAACAGCTGGGGGAGCGGCTGAGGAGCGCATGGAGGTTGGGGAAAGTCCCCCCCCCCCTCGGGGGTTCTAAGACCTGCTCTCCTAGGTAGGAGGAAGGAGCTGACAGCGCCATTTGAACAACAGGTGCTTGAGGATGCGAGATGGGTCCTTGAAGGAGTCTCCTTCAAGGACCTAGTCTGCGATGATGCAAAGAGGACCAGACAAAATATGGAAAACCTAACTCTATGATGTGAGGGTGTCAAATCCACTTTTCCAAGTACGAGCGGAGAAGCCAGGCCAGCTAGATCCATAGATACTGCTGGCAAAAAGTAGACCAGGACCACAAGACAGCGTTGGCGAAAGCGAGCGCAGCAAAAGATGGTGGGCCCGAGAGGAAGGCCAAGTCGCACAAACAAGTGACTCGAAACAGGGGAAAGGAGACGGCAAGGCGAAAATAAAGCCTAATCCTGAACCTAACAGGAAGTCGGGAGGCGCTACGGCTAAAGTTATCCGATCACAACCGGAGCTCAAAGGCGCTCAAGCGGCGACACAGCAACACCCCCCGAGACCTGTCTCGGGCATGCAACCAGCCGCGGGCTCTGCTAGCTCCTGGACAGAGGTGGTGAGGAAAAAGGCGCCAAAGAAAAAGGACATCACAACGAGGGAGACGACGTCACAAAGTGCAAAGGCGTCCAAGCAGACACAGGAGAACGCGAACAATCAGAGCTCAAAAACCCCTGGTGCATCGAGGAGGAGAAATCCAAGGTCACAGGCTGTAACCCTCACGGCACCACTTGGAACTTATGGAGAGTGCATGGGCTCTTGAAGTCCCAGATCTCTCTAGATGAGATGGGCATCAAGGAGTTGAGGCCCAGGCGAGCCCTCTCCGGGGCTCTCATCTTTGAGATACCCGGTGAAGAGGCAAAACAGAAAGCGGATGCCCTGACAGAGAGGATGAGGAACGTCCTTGAAAACAGGGAAGGGGTCAAGGTGACACGCCCCACGAGGATGGCGGAACTTAGGGTCAAAGACCTGGATGATTCCATATCCCAGGAGGAAATCCGCGAAGCCATGGCCAAAACGGGGGGTTGCCAACCCCAGGAGATCAAAGTGGGCCAGCTAAGGGCCGCTCCCAATGGCCTGGGGACGGCCTGGGTCCAGTACCCCCTCGTCGAGGCCATGAGGATCGCGACACAAAAACGCGTAAGGGTCGGGTGGACATCAGCTCGGGTCGAGCTATTGGAAGCTAGGCCTCTGGTTTGCTTCAGGTGCCTGGAGCGCGGCTATGTGAGACAGCAGTGTCGCAACACCGTGGACCGCAGCACCACCTGCTACAGGTGCGGAGATCCAGGCCACAAGCGCAGGACTGCACAAAAGAGCCAAACTGCTCAGTGTGCAGCGCGAAAGGCTTGCGAAACATAAGGCTGGTGGTCTGGCCTGCCCCTTACCATCCAAAAGGGAGCAAAAGAGGAAGAAAAGGCAGGAGACGAACCCCCTTGCAACATAAGTAGCAGCGCAAGGAAATACGCCCGAAAATCACAGTAAAGCAATGGAGACGGAGGAGGAAGCTCCGCACGCGGAGCAGGACTCACTTAGAGTCACAGACGGTAACGGTCCGGAGGAGACCGCATCACCAGGGCCTTCGCGCACGTAAATGTGATTCAGGCGAATTTGAATCACGCCCGCCAGGCGCATGAGCTGCTCATGCAGAGCATGGCGGAGCGTGATAGCGGCCTGGCGATTTTATCGGAACCGCGTAGAGGACCGGATCATCCGTGCTGGATATACAGCACGGACAACTCGGTCGCCTTGTACTGGAGAGAACGAGGGACAAACATGTCCCCTGTTCGATTGTAGGAAGGGGTGAGGGCTGGGCCATTGTGAGATGGGGACGCATCAACGTGGTCGGTGTGTACCTTCGGCCCAGCCTCAGTCTCGCCGAGCTGGAAGGCCGCTTCGACACCCTGGAAGGACAAGTCAGGTCACTTCTTCCGGGCCCGGTGTTAATAACCGGGGACTTCAACGCCAAATCGGCGCTCTGGGGTTCCCGGCGGCCGGACGCGAAAGGGCAAGAGGTGGCAGACTGGGCGGCGCGCCTTGGTCTCCACTTACTCAACGTGGACACGGTGAGCACCTGCGTGAGACCCCAGGGGGAGTCCATCGTCGATCTGACCTGGGCTTCCCCTGCGGCCGCTGGACTGGTGGCCTCTTGGAGGGTGGCGGAGGAGCTCGAACTCTTGTCCGACCACCTTCCGATCGAGATTAAGATCTTGCCGTTCCGAGAAGGAAACGCTGCAGCTCATCAACAACGGCCACTCAGATGGGCTGTCCAAAAAATGGACATAGACAAACTGCAGGCGTCGTTGATGGTGGAAACATGGCCACCCGAGACTCAAGGGGAGAACATTGAGGACCAAGCCAAGCGTTTGAGGGCAGCCATGACGCGAGCGTGCGATTGCGCCATGCCCAGGGCTATCTTCACCCCGCGCCGCAAGGCGCACTGGTGGTCTGAAGAGATCGCCGAACTGAGGAGGGCAGCGGTCCAAGCAAGGAGGCAGCTTCTCAGAGCGAGAAGACGAGCAGGAACAACGCAGCAGGAACTTAAAGACCGGCTGGATGGTAGCAGGGACAAACGCACTGCTTTACGCAACGTCATCAGGAAGGCGAAGGAACGAGCCTGGGATGAATTCCTGATGACGTTGGATGAGCACCCCTGGGGGAGGCCATACAAGATCGTCCTCGGCAAGTTGGCGAGCGCCCCCCCCCCCCACAGTGGAGGCCTTAAAGCAAGAGCTCCTCGGGAGAATAGTTCACACGCTCTTCCCGGGAAGTGACGGCAGAAGAAGACCGGAAGAGAAAAAGGATCCTGCGGCCCATGACGACCACGAAGAGTGGCGAGAGGAATTAGCCGTCAATGACCTGGAGTTGACTAGGGCGGCCAAAAAATTAAAAGCAGGCAAAGCACCAGGCCCGGATGGCATACCGGGCGTTGTCTGGAAAGCGGCAATAGGGGAACTCTCGGGGAGGTTAGAATCCCTCATGACAGCGTGCCTGAGAGAAGGACACTTCCCCGAGTTGTGGAAGGAGGCCAAGCTGGTCCTCCTTCCCAAGGCGGGAAAACCGGTGGAGCTGCCATCAAGTTACCGGCCAATATGCCTCCTGGACGAGGCGGGCAAGATCTTCGAGAGGATCGTTACAACCCGACTCGTCCGGAGCATTGAGGATTG